CTTGCCTTTGTAAAGAGATACGGTATCTGCAGGGGAAATTGGTGAATAGATTCTTAGTACTGAGTAATAGGACAAAAATGTGAAACAACTTTGTAGAATCTTGCATCTAGATCTCTTAGAGCAGGCAGAGGTGTCATCCAGCTTGTTCCCACTTTACAAATTTTCTAGAGAGTTGGAAATATTAACAAAGAATTTAAAAAGTTCATAAAAACTATAAAGCAATTAGTTACCTGCCTTTACTGGGTGTAGTGATGACAAGCTGTTGGTTTTTTTACCTGGTTGGATGACTTGTGACATGAATTTTTTTGTTGTTTTAATTTAAAATAGCCTTTATGCTAAAGTTTTTGTTTTTCTGGAAATATTCTGCTCCTATGAACATTCGCAGTATACAAAGTGACACTTCAAAAATCAAATAGATGTTTTAAGATTTTTGTTAGCTCACACTCAGGTGTACTGAGTATTCAGAATATGCAGGAAGAAATTCCAGTTATAGGTCTGTGCTTTGTTCAGATTGAATAGTTACTAGGTAATCCCCTCAGTCCTGAGTCTCCTGTTTTATACTGGCAAGAAAAAGCCCATGCATCCAAATCCCTCATTCTCTTCATTTTACTGTCTAAGAGGGATAAATTCCTTAATTCCCTAGAGCTGCTGTATAGCTATTCTTTTAAAAAAAAAATTAATAAAAAAAAAATCCTGCCTCAAATTTGGGAAGCCCTTTTTAGGAGAATAATGACAAGAAGTCCATACTACCCCTTTGTACCATATTCTCTATAATCAGGAAAAAGCAACACAGTTAATAAAATACACAAATTTAATTTTCTTGTAACTGAAATATCTTTTAAAATTATTGCAGAATTCTCCTTATTAATTCCCATGCCCTGTACTCACATTTTCTGTATACATTTTTTCTATCTCAAGTACATTTAGGTGTCAATTAAATTTGAAATATCTACATTTGTCAGCATTTCATTTTTGGCCAGTGTGATGTGCTGCTGATTTGTCCATGCATCCTGACACATGAAAAAAGCTCCTGAGATGCAGATCTTCCTCATTAAAAAAGAAACCCATACTATCATAATGGTACGCAGAGCCATGGAGCGCATCCCCAGCTTTATTGCACTGTGTTTCTGACATGATATTTAAAAAGGAACAGCCACGGCTGTCAGTACTGTCATATGCTAGTGCTAACCGAAGACATGTTAAACTAAACATTAGAAAGAGATCAGCAAGTCATCTGCATGGTAACTCAGCTAAGAGATTAGGTAGGCAGGAGCTGGTGCAGTCATGTGGAGATGATGAGGGTTGTAGCTGTGACGGACACATCCTTTTTTCCCTCTAAGACTGCAGCAGTGCCTGCCTTGTAGCCGGGCTTGCTGTGACCTGCCTTTTCAGAGACAGCTCTTTGTGTATGAAATTCTAGCAAGTGGTGGGTGGCAGACTGCAGGAGAGTTGCCGAATTGGGTTAATGAGGGAATAGGCACTTTTTTTGGATTCTGCTGCCTCAAGCTAATAAAAAATTTAAACTTGGACAATTTTAGATTGTTCATCCCTTATCTTGGACCAAAATCTCTTACAGAGCACACCAACAGTGAACCTTAAGCACTTTCTTTTTTCTAATTATGAGATCCCACTTTCATTTAAGGAGTCTTGCAACAGCAACAAAACCGGTGCATGTTAACTTGCTATATATTTAATGTTATTTCCACTGACCTCCACTGAAGTGCAATTGATGATCTAGCCAACAAGATCCTATCTTATTTCTTCGTAGTTTGTTCCCAGTTTATTTAATATGTGCACACAGACACAATGCATTTGAATTTAGCATAGTCTGAAGGCAAACAAAAGGTATCAGAGGCAGTGCTTTAAGGGCAACTGCACCAATACATTTGTTATAAGCAGTTACCAAACACTTAGTGTTATCGGCAAGATACGTGGAAATTCAATATCGCTTTTGATTTCTGTAAATAATTTTAGATTTTCTGGAATCATGTTAAATAGTAATTTACTCTCCTAAGACAAAAAGACGTGTATATAAGTTCAAAAAGGAAATATTTTTAAAGTATTTTTGATTTCTGATTTATTTTAGGTGGAGCCTTTTGTTAATGTACATTGAAATTTTTGGATAATAGTCACTTTCTTAAAAAAAAAAAAGAAAAAAAGAAAGTTAAAAAAATGTTATAGCAAATTTTTCTTAATGCAGTGGCACCACCTCACTTTCCCTGGATGCCTATTATAGCAGAAGAGAGGAAAAGAACAGCTATGCAACAGCTTTAATTGGAGTACCACAGACTATGATTTAACACTATCAGCTGCGTCCACTGCCACCACTATTTTAGACTTTTTATTAATTAGCTCTGACCTGATTGTGAATAAACATTTATTCACAGTGGCAGCTCGGGCCCTCTTGAGCTGTCAGTTGCCATGTCCAACTTCTCTTTTTCTGACCTAATCTTTTAGACTGATTTTCATAACTTTATTATATAGTTATTTAGTGATTGAGACAAAAGAACTGAAAGAATGAAGGCTGATTATTAATTCAATTGCCACTAGAGGTAGTTTGTTAGTATGTCTGTACTATAAAGGCAACAAATCAAATTCTTTCTCTTTCTATCCATCCCGTTCTGATTTCAGCATATCCTCGTCTTATCTATAACGTACATAGTGGTGGGATACATTTGCATTGCTCTACGATGTCTACGGGATCAGGACCTGTCCTTTGTTCCACATGATGAGCCCGATTCTGCTTATACTGAAGTAACAAATTTTATTCTGGACCTCAGTAGTAGCAAAATTAGGCTCCCATCTCAATTGTGTATTGCTTTGTGTCATTCACGATGTATGTTTTGATTCACCACAATAACTAGCATATTATCAGTGATATGTGGTTGATAAAATGAAGATGTCTGGGGAAGAGGCCTCGTTTGGATGGCTAGAAACAATGTTTGCTTTTATGATCCTAGTGATTTCTTTTCCATTGTTCTAGGGATGTGGGAAGAAAAAAGAGGCCTGTAAATTATGCTGTCTAGCAACATCTATCAGTGTTGATCAGCCTGTTGTTTGGTCCATAAGACATATAAAAGTGGTTTATAATGCCGTTGAAAAGAGGTTTTCTTGGTTTGTTTTTTGTTTCATTTCTACTCATGCAGGCTTAGATACACCAGAACGCAACTGAAATGGGGAGAATAAATAAGAAACAATACATAGCTGTTAAAAAATTGAGTATATGTTTTATTATAAGTGCATATAGTTTTGGTGGCTCTACACAATGTTGTCCTTGAGTTTTAGTAGATTGAAAAGCACTGGGCTATGGTGTAGAGGCCTCTGATTAGTACTGGTAAATCTCGATGTGCTTTTACTGCTTTCAGTTACTTGTGAAGCATTTGTCTTAATATTTAATTTGTGAGAATATGTTTCCTATAAGCTCTTTTGCCATCCAGAGCTTCAGTGTTTCAGAGGGGAATGAACAGCAGCCCTTGCTTCATACTTTACTAAAGATTAGGATATTGTAGCATTACAAATGAGGCAAGATTTGCTATTAATTTATTCATGCTCTTCAACCTCTTTGTTCCAGTGTATTTCTGCTAAGTACCCTGCTCCTGTACTCTTTCCTCTTCTGCTAAAGCTGATAGTGCATTTAATTGTTTAAAGCAGTGATAGCCACTTCTGAATTTGCTCCAGTGGAAACAGTGAACCTTAGAAGCTTCTACTTTATGCAGAAAAGTAGAAGTACTGGGTTTTTGGTTAAAATTAAGTGAAGCAACTGATAGCTACAATAAATAATAGAAAAAAATTCATAAATTCAGCAAGCTTTAAATATTATTCTTTTATCCCCCAACCAGTGTGTGTTTACCCAGACCTATATAGGCATGCACAGTTAGTTTTACATTCACTAAAAATTTAGGCATTGTCTTCATTAGGTACAAGAGCAAATCCTGGAGATCTGACCTCTGTGTGTAAAATCTGATAGCTACAATAAATAATAGAAAAAAATTCATAAATTCAGCAAGCTTTAAATATTATTCTTTTATCCCCCAACCAGTGTGTGTTTACCCAGACCTATATAGGCATGCACAGTTAGTTTTACATTCACTAAAAATTTAGGCATTGTCTTCATTAGGTACAAGAGCAAATCCTGGAGATCTGACCTCTGTGTGTAAAATAAAGATGACTAATATGTTCTTGTCAAAAGTCTGGTGAAATGTTTTTGGTGGTGGTTGGGGTTTTTTGGGGTTTTGTTTGGTTTGGTTTTTTATTTGTTTGGTTTTTAATTACAGCTAAAGTGTGTTTGCAGAGGCACTTCTGATTTTCAATAGTTTTCATCTGAAAGGATTTTTGTTCCAGGCCGCTGCTAATGAATTCATAGATTGATAGTTACCGTCCTGCGATGCAGGAGAAATTAGCTCGAGTCCCTTTTCTGCCAGACTTTGAAAGCAGTTAACCATTGAGGAAAGAAACACATACACGTTACTTGACAAACTGCATTTCATATAAATCCTTGGGCAGTTTTGTTTTTATTCTAGAGTGAAGCAATTTCAGATCTCAAAAATAGATACAAGTAGGAATTGTTGCCCTCAAGTCAGCTCCTCTCATGTATCAGACTAATCTCAGTCTAAATATAAAGCAGAGAGGTAGATCTAGTATTTGCTTGTAGTCAGAGCTCAGAGAATCTGAGGAGCAAAGATGTATTTCTAAAGAACAAAAAGATGCCCAACTCTCTAAAAAATGTAGTGGGGAAAAGGTGGGTTTCTGTATTGGCTTCTTTTGCAATATGGGTGTGACGGCAGTACCCTTCCCGACTATATGGCACCCTAGACATTTTTAGAAGAGCTGTATTTTCTGCTTGAAAAGTAGAGCTCAACATTCACCGGCAGAGCTCTTGCGGTGGCAGTCAGTCACATTCAGAAATGATTCAGAGCTTACGAATCACTTGGTTTCTCTCTCCTCTGGAGCTTTGAATGTGACAACTTGGTAACTTCCTTTTCTCTTCCTGTTTCCCTCAGCCTTGTAAAGCCTTTGCGACACTATACAGTCTTCCTCTCTGAGGACTCTTCTGATGATGAATTTCAGCAGGAAGAGGATCCTGTCTCTGGCTTCTCTGAAAACTTTTTCTTCTCTGCTCCTTTTGAATGGTCTATCCTTTATTCTTTCATTGTATTAATTCAGACTTCGAACAATGGTTTTTGCATTGGTCAGGGTGCCTGCTGCTATACTTGGAATTTTGGAAATGCTCCTGCAGTCTCTGTACGGCGCTTGATGAATGTTCAGCATTTCTCCTGCTTGTTTGTCTTGATATTTAGCAGCATGCAAAAGCATACTCCTGCATGAAACACTCTGCAGCAATACACAGCTTATGGTTTTACATCGACTCGAGCTCTGTGGGATGTAACCCTTCCACTTGCCCTTTCTTCCAATGTGCTGCTCATGTTCCTGTCCAAACCTTCTGCCGTTCTTCCTTGTGCAGTGCTAGCTGTGCTTTTTGGATTGTCCTGTGAGCCTTATTTCAGTGCAGTTATTGGCTTTTTCTAGTTTCACTTGCTTGATCCCAGCTTCTCTGTTCCGTCGAGTACCACATCCTCAGTGACTATAGAGAATCGCCATGCAGATGTCCTCCAAGGGTTTATGAGTACAATCTGACCTAAAATTATACAAGAAACAGGAAGCAGTTTGTTGGGTTTACTCACTGTGTTATTTGTATCCAACTTTTTAATTTGTAAATTGTTGTAAATTCCCAAACCTCTGTAACTTAGTCTTGCCTAGTTTTGAAACATGGTGCTGAGCAGCTTGGCCATATTGCAACTACCACTCTGTGAGAACTCTACGTTTAAGCACTGGCTGCAGGATTCTGCCACCTACCCAAGGTACCCGTGTTAGGGGAATGAGTGTTGCCTGTCAGCTCCCGTTTACCTGGCCAGTCTTCCCAGGGGCCTGAGTGTATCTTTCTGAGATGAGAGTAACACTGTCATGTGGAGGGTGCACACTGATTCAGCTGTACTAAAGTCCCTCTTACTGCATATTTGAACATACCAACCCCGGAGGGCAGTCTGGAGCTAAGGCCTCACTGAATGTCATCCAGAGGATTTGATCTTTCCTAACCTCACCTGCTTGAGGATTTCTAGGGGGAGAAAGGGAGATAAATTGCACAGAATTACACTCATTCTTTTAACAAATGCAGTTCCTGGCTTGACCAGAACCTGTAGGAAGAGGTGCCAGGGTACTGTGAGCTGCTGCTTCAGAAATCTGCGTGATGCCAGATCCGGGTGGTTCTGGGTACTGGGAGATGGATGCCTGGTCACACCTGAGCAACTGGAGCCTGCCGGATGCAGTTGTGTTAGACCAGGCTGGAGAAAGAGGCTGCCAGTTTGATAGTGGAGTCTCCAATTGCTAAAATTCATTGTGTGATGCAGAAGGCAGGTTCAGACACTGACAGGGAAGGGACATGACTGCAGGCAGTTGGGCATGGGGAGAGAGACATATAGGTTCAGTAGCAAAGGGCCAGAAAAATGTTCCCACACTCGTGTTTGGGGTGGAGGAGGCCAGGCCACTAAAATGGTTTGTTTGCAGAATATTCCTCAGGGGGTTTTGTGCAGTGTGATCTAATGCTTAGCAGATGAGCACATACTGTGTGAGACACTAAAGATACGACCGAGATTTGCAAGATTACCCTCTTCCTAAGGACATGTACCATCAGCTGTCTGTCTTGTACTTGCATTGTTACATTCTTGTGCTGGTAGCTGAATGCCTGCTATTTATGTGTTGATGAATGAAGTAAGATGGGCTGTTTATAAATTTGCATGATATAGATGTATTATAATAAAATACAGAAAGAGGAGGAGGGTTCTTCCATAGTATCTGTTTTTGCAGGTCTCACAAATATTTTCTTTTAATTGAAACCTTGTTTAAATGCCACAGTAAAACTGGCTGCCAGTCAAATGCCAATCACCACAGATATGTATGGCACTTCTTCTCATTAATTGGATGCGCATTATGCTGCTGTTCTCTGTACACAGAACCAATATGCAAATCTGCTGGTGTTCATTTTTTTGCTGAGGTATGTGCAAGAAAAGCATCCTGCTAACTCGGCCTTGGCTGTAAATGTAAAATAGGTGTCTCCATAATGGATTGTGTTGTTTCTTGATAAGATGACACCAGTGTAATCATTGGAACTCTGCACAGTGTTCCCAATTATTGCAGGAAAACACTGAATTATGTTCTGTGCTGAGTTAGCTTGAAGCAAGAGAATGTAAGTGCCTGCAAAACACAGGGCACTTTGCAGTGCACTTGCTCTGACTTCTTGTGTAAAAGGACTGAGCACAGTAGCAGTGGTCTGCATGAGGGGGAGGGCCAGATTGTCAAAATAGAGAGCTAGCGTCCAGCTATTCCTGCTCCGAGAGAGTTCCCTCATCAGCCTGTCTGTAACTGCATGATCACAGCTTTCCTCCGAGTACTTCCCACTTACATCTTCTTCCTTTCTGAAAACCCCTCGAGTGCCAAGTCATCTTTGTTTGTCCTTCTGCTCTTGGTCACTTTGCTCACACACCTGCTGTTCACAAGGCAATGTAAGCTGTATTTTGCTACCCAAAAGCTTTTTGTAAAGCCATCCAACTCCTTAGTAAATACTTGTTTAAAAAAAAATTTAGAAAGACAGTCATTTGCCACATGATTTTTGTTTCTCTCCTAGGCCTCAGCCGTACCGGGCCCTGAAAGAATCTGATAGTGCTGATGGGGAAGAGGCGGTAAGTCCAGAAAAATCAAAAGAGCCTCTGCCTCCAAGCCCTCTGCTGTCAAGCAAGGCCACAGAAATCAACCTCCTTGAAGACATTTTCCCTAACCTAGAAGTAGAAACACAGCCTCAGCCTCTCAGCCAAGCTAAGAGCCTGGAAGACCTGCGGACACCCAAAGAAGAGGGAGATCAGCGGTGCACATTTGATTACCAGGTTTGGACAGGGTTTCATGTATTGGGGAGTTTTGCACAGAACTAGGGCGGGCTGGCTTCCATTATTCTCTGAGGAACATTTTCATATTATTAGGTAGATGCATCCATTTCCCAGCCATTTGTTCATGTGTTTCAAAGTTCATTTCTGAATTAAGAAATTATTGGAATGGGACTCAGTTATAAGACAGTAACTTTTTCCACTAAACCTCCAGCCTTCTAAAGGAGGAAATATTTGCCCTATTTCTCAGAATCTGGTTGTCCATTGGCTATCACACAGAGTTATCTGAGAAGCTGACGCTCAGCACTGAGAATGAATATCTGGGAATTTTCAGGTCCCCTCCAAACTGCATGTTCTTTAAATGATCTTCTTTTAATCCGGCCAGTTTGGTCTAGGCATCATTTGAACAATCTAGATTGCAGAAGAGAGATTCTTTATGAAGAATTTCACTGACTATATGCAGCTTAGAAAGTGCCAAACTAAATCAGACTCTGAGATCTTCATGTGACATGAAGGAAAATAATGTCATTTCTACCTTATAGTAATATTTAATTTAGTGTTATCTCCAGATATTTCATTCGATAACTTTTTCCATACAGCAGTTAAGGCTTCTCAATTTCTGTACCTTAGATAGAGGTACGTGCTCCTTACTTGGCTAACAACAGATGCCACAGTATGTCACAGCTGAAAACTCATTAGAGGCAGAGCTGGCATTAAAACTGCAGAGTCCTGCTTCTGATTTCCTGTATGTCCGTCTAGGCTGCATGCTGTTGTCCCTCTCCAGTGTTCACAGTCTGTGGACAGATCCTCTTCCACTCATAGCTCAGCAGCCTGTCTTCACTTTATGTTCTATGTTGTGAGGAGATCAGTAAAAGTTAACATTTTTTTTTTTTATGCTTTCTTGCAGAGAATGGATCTTGGTGTATCTGAGAGGAACAGGATTGTGCCAACCATGAAGCTGTCTCACCCTTATAACAAGCTGTGGAGTATGGGTCATGATGATATGGCTATTCCTACCAAGTATTCCCAAAGCTCACCGGAAAGGCCCTTGACTGCACTTGGTAACATGCCACCAATCACAAGGAGACCCCGGAGCAGAGACAGCGTTCTGGCTCCTGCTGAAAAGGATGAATCAAATCCTGCCATTCAAGGGAACATCACCATTCCTAGGCCACAGGGAAGAAAGACTCCTGAACTGGGGATAGTGCCACCACCACCAGCACCCAGGGCTTCCAAGCATCAGACTCCAGCTGGGCCAACAGAAAGTCTCACCACCCATGCTACAGGACGTAGCCATTTGGTTTCAGATCTTATCCCAGAGCCCTTTGGAGTTGGTAGTGTGTCCTTAGACCCTGAAATCCAGCAGTCTATAAATTATTCCTCTCATCCGTCTCAGCTTTTGTCCAGTGCTACCAGCACTGCTGAGATGCTCCAACCTGTCAAGGTGAAGACAGACAATACAGGTAATGAAAGCGACTACCTTCTTAATCTCCTGGATCCATTAAAAACAGCCAGCTGGCAAAGCAGTGGCCCACAGCAAGGTCCCCGCAGGCTGCAAAGCTCAGCCACTCCACCTTCTGCAGCTAGCTTTGTCTCAGTGGCAAGTGACTTTGTGCCTCCTCCAGCCGCACCATTTGTCCAACCACTTGGTTATCCTTCCCCAGCACGACCACCTTTTTTACAGCCGTCTCCTAATCCATTTACACAAACAGTGCCAGGAGCCCTTTCAGTGTCTCTAGTTAGACCCCCAAGGGGCTCTTTCACCCCCTCTTTAGGTCACGCTTATAGCTCTAGCTTCATAACACCCAATTCTAGCTTCTACCCACCACAAAGACCTCAACCAAACATTTCAACACTATCCATGCCAAACTTGTTTAGCCAGGCTCCAGGTGTGCCACCAGCTAGCTCCTTATTGCTGCAGAGCCACAGCCCTTCTCCAACAAGCTCTCTACAGCCAGCATGTTTAAGCGGTCCTTCTAAAACCAGAACATTACAAGTGGGCCAGTCCAGCTCAAAGGTAGATCCCAAACAAGCACTAGCTCTCCTGTCTAATGAACCCCCTTTGATCCCTTCCAGGCCAGCTAAGGGCTTAGAGTCAGTGTTACTATCCTCAAAATCTGAGGAGACAAAAGATCCATTTGAAGATTTGTTAAAAAAGACAAAGCAAGACGTGTCGTCCACACCAGGTAAGGTTGAACAGCTCAGAAAGCGATGGGAAACCTTTGAGTAATACTCCCAATGGCCTTTTGATGTCCCTTTGGAATTGACTGAGGGTTTTTTTTGTTTTTTTGAGCCAGCATAAAACCAAGCATTTCTTTTATGGAAAGCTGAGCCAGGATAGCTGCAGGACCATCACCGTGCTGCCATTCACATGAGTGCTTTTTGCCCAGAGTTCAGAATCCCCCCATTGTCCTGGTCCCTGCAACTGCTTCCTCACTCTCCACCACTGAAAACCCCTGTGACTCTTGCACTGACCAAAGCATGAGGGTAGTTGGGTTTGGGGTTTAGGTTTCGTTTCGTTTCGTTTTCCACACATAGCTTTTCAGACAATACTACTGATGCAGAAGTTACTCCTTCCCTTGTATTTTCAGTCCTTAGCGCAGCCGGGAGCATGACACGGCACGTTGTACTAGTGTTTTCTTCCTGCCTGTGTGAATGGTGTTCAGTTTTTCTTGCATTACACATATAGCTATAAAGTTTTGCTTTCACATGTAAAGTGCAGCAAACAAACCCAGACTTGTGGGCTGCGCTGAATTAACCCATTGGGCTCTGAGTTTGTCCTGTCTTGAAATACAGACGTTCATGTAGGTTATACTATTGGATGAGCTTTTGTTGCGGATTTTTGATTTCTCCCCCAGTGTACTGGCACTGAGAGGTAATAGGGATCTCTCTGGTGCAGAATTGTCCTAACTCCTTGTTGCAACAAAACCATAGCACAGAGCAGTTGCTCAGGGTTCGGTCCTGCATCTCTGTTGGGAAACTGGAAACACCAGCAATTGATTTTCTTCTTTGGGTTTTTGTTTGTTTGTTTGTTTGTTTGTTTGTTTGTTTGTTTGTTTGTTTGTTTGTTTGTTTGTTTGTTTGTTTGTTTGTTTGTTTGTTTGTTTGTTTGTTTGTTTGTTTGTTTGTTTGTTTGTTTGTTTGTTTGTTTGTTTGTTTGTTTGTTTGTTTGTTTGTTTGTTTGTTTGTTTGTTTGTTTGTTTGTTTGTTTGTTTGTTTGTTTGTTTGTTTGTTTGTTTGTTTGTTTGTTTGTTTGTTTGTTTGTTTGTTTGTTTGTTTGTTTGTTTGTTTGTTTGTTTGTTTGTTTGTTTGTTTGTTTGTTTGTTTGTTTGTTTGTTTGTTTGTTTGTTTGTTTGTTTGTTTGTTTGTTTGTTTGTTTTTGTTAAATACATCAGAAAATAGAGGCCATAAAGAGTATCCTAGTTCTTACATATGTGTATGTTAATATTATATATAAATATTATAGATGGCAGTATATGAATGGGATGTAACAATATCTTGATTATTAAAAACAAAAAAAGAGAAAAAAATTGGGGTATAAAAGTTCCCAGGTCATGAGTTCGTCAAATGCCAGTGTGCTGACAAGATGGCCTGAGTGCAGATAGATTAAAGCTGCAGTGCTTGTCTGTACAGGCAGAAACCAGACGCCAGGTTGAGCTGCGTAAGTGCTGCAATGCTGGGAGGCCAATGCGTGACAGCTGCCTGTCACTGCTGGACTTCAGAAGTGCTAATTGCTGCCTTGAAGGAACTGGGATGTCATTCTGGTCTGCAAGGCGCTCGGCTCCTTCAGCCTGTCTGAAAAACCACAATCTTTATCCCGTTTTTGATGAGAACCGTTTGCTGGTATAACAAGACATTAACTGGACCATGACATGGACTGTGAGGTCATGAAGTACAAAACTGCAATGAAAAGGTTAAAGGGTACGTTCAGTCTGATTTTCTAAGACACTTGTCTGTGGCAATAGTATTCTCAAGAAATTGCATCTTAATCTTAGCATCCCTTATAAAACCTGCTGTCTTTGCAGTGATCATTCTTGTTTTACTTAAGTGGTGCTTTTTTGCTTTGTTTTGTATTTGGGCACAATCTGATGTAAAACATGTTACTCTAGAAGAGGTAATCACATCACCATTAAGCCTTTGATAAAGGAAATCATTTTGGACACATGGGGAAATTCTTGTAAAGCTTTATCTGATTTCCAATGTATCTATTTTATTCATATAATCTTGGAAATTTTCTTACTCTAGTGTATGAAAATGGCTGTCTATGCGTTTGAGTCTGTGCAATACAAAAGAAAAATGCTCTCAGTATCTGAAATGCCGACAGTTTGGGAAAGACCACAGTATTACATTGATATTCTATTTCTGTAAAGTACTGTTACTCTGACAAGCCATTCAGTTGGATTTGTATTTTCTTTTTGTGTTGGAAGACAGATGGTTTTAGTATTGCATAGTAAAATATTTAAAGTCTAAGATAATAGCTCCATTTTATTTTATACAGTTCAGAATATGAACCTTATATATAAATTCATTACATATGAATTTCAGATCTCCTTTGCTATGAGCTAGATGATGAAACTTTCTCAATTATGGTGGATATGTACAGGCACCAGAAAGTTCTGCATACGGCATGCCATTTGAATTTCACGTACTCTTTTTTTAAAGTTGTTAATGTCACATGCTGATTATATAGTGAGTAGGCCTATTACACATGCTTAACTAAATAGCAAAACGCTCAGGTAATTCTGTATGCCTGCAAATCATTTTCCATCTCTGATTATTTTACTCTGCCCATATTATGGAATATTTTATGCAGTTTCTTTTTAGACAAACAAGCACTCTTGGATTTTTCTTTTTAAGGCACTGAAAAGTGTTAACACTTAACACAAATGGCATTAATCACCCTTCACTTTATTTCGAAGGGGGAAGGTTGAACACACCTCTTGAGATCCAGGAGCACGAGGCAGCACTCGCCTGGACTTTGTGACCTTCCTCACTTCTTGAATAGAATTTGCAAGCAGGAGACTGTTTGACGTGCTTCTCATAATAAAGGAATCAAACTATCCCTAGGGCAGTATTTAGTTTTTTGTCTTATTTAAACTCAGGAATTCCTAACATGATTCATTCCTAATAGTGCCAGATGTAAACAAGTGTGCTTGTCTTGAGACTAAGCTCGGATATAAAACCTTTCTTTTTCTGATGTAGAAGTATTTTTGATGTTTTTACTAATCTAGTATGAGAAGCGTTCCTTTTACTTCTTGTCTGATATTATTCATCAATGACTTTATATACAGCTTTGTACATTTTCCTGTACTCGCTGTACTTGTTTGCTTGTTGTACCAAATAAGCACTTTGCTTATTTACAGATGCTTTCTTCCATTAGAAATAACTTTTATTTAAAGGAAAAAAAAAACCAACCTCTTTTAAGTTTCTGATGCATCTGATGCTGTACAGATGGTAAAACCATTTTTGTATCTTGTTCACTCATTAGGTTAGAAACATTTTAGACACTGGAATTGGAAGCTGCTGAGACACACAAGAATTTTGTTGCTGAAGACCTTTCTCTCATTACCTTACATACACATGTTAATTATGAGAGGCTTGTGATTTCTCTGCACATGCTAGGGATTTTTTTCCTAACCTGCAATGAATGGTCTGAACTGCTTAAATATTCCCCCCATCCTTTTTTTATGTGTGTGGAAAAAATCAAGCAGGAGATTGACATCTGGCCAGTTTTCTTTCTGATTAGGAGGTGGTTAGAGCCTGTCAGTAACAAATGACTGCAGTAGTTCAGGGGAAATTAATATCCCTTTAACCAACCGTAGGAAACCACCGATTCAATGACACATTTCTTTTGTTAAATAGGAATGTTTCACGCACTGTCTTCAAAAGAGCATGTAAGTAAATGATAGCTGACCGCTTCCTAAACTCTGTCCATTTGCACTGCGGGATTTATTCTAGTCTACTTGTAATATTTTTTTAATGTGTTTTGCTCCGTGTACACTTACCATACAGGCTTTATGATCAAACTGATTTTTCCAACATCAGCAGATTAAATTGGTTAGTACTGAACAAGAAGCCTGTCAGCTGCTGCTTCTCACAACATCCAGGTTTGGAAAAATCTTTTTTTTTTTTTTTTTTTTTTTTTTTTTTTTTCTA